TATTCCTCAGGGCTGTCCAGTCTTGCTTCCTGGAGCATGTGGTGCTCAGCCTTGGCTGCTTCAACTTCGTCTCGCTCTTCATCTGCTAGCAAGCCAGATTCCACTAGGAATTTCACGGACTCCAGATTTTGATGCAACGTGACTGCACAGTCATCTCGTGAATCTGAGGCGTTGAACTCAAAGAAAAGCTCTTCATGACCACGGATAATGACAACGAGTCCATGGTATCCAAAGCGGAAGCCTTTCTCTTTTTCAACGTTCTCAATGTCCTTGAACGGCAAAATCATTTTGGTCCGAGTACCAGGAATCAGGCTGCGGAAACAAAGTTTCTTCTGACTTATATATATCTTGCCGTAGAGCGGGAGCACACGGTGCAAGTAGGCGTAATAAGTCGCCTGCAGCTTTTCGCTAGATGGGAGAGCAAAGTGTGCACGAAAGCGATCCCCATAATTGAATGCACCTTCGTTATCCTCGGGATCAACGTTCTGGTCTTCGAGCAACGGCCCTTCCCGCTCTCCATAATGCTTCTGCCCACCAATCCACATGCCAGAGACCTTTTCTATATAGCCCATTGACTCTGTTGCTAACAGTGTACTCATCTGTTTCGAGCGGCTCTTCAAGTATTCTGCAAAACCAGCGGCGCGTTGAAGGGGATATGCGCCTGCTTTGACAAGCTCGTTCAGATGAGTAACCGAGCTCGGTGTTGAAGATTGCATTGGATTAGAATGGCCGGTGGCATATCGCGTGTCGTCTGTGGTTTCATTGCCGCCTAGTGTTCCAGATGGAGAGCCTGCCGCTGCATCTAGGTCCAGCCGCGCAGATGCAGAGGGAGTTGTATCATCAGAATATCGTCGAACGGTTTCTCCCACATCCAATGTGCGTCCTTGCAGTGTGTGCATAGTGGGCGATTGAAAGACGTCGCTTCTGTGCAGTATTTGACTGGCTGATTCAGTGGTGTCTGTCATCGACTGTATAATTGGTGACGATCCGGTCCCTTGCTCTGCAAATGAGTCGGCCGAGCCTTGGTTTTCATTTCCTACACTGGAGCTTCGCTTGCGTGGTGAATCTCCTTGCCTCTGATCGGATACTCGAACGCTGCTGACCGATTGCCTTTTATGGGCAGTACGACTTGATTCGGGTTGATGTCGGATGTCGTGCTCACCCAGCGACTCTTTCGTTGCGGTAGTAACCGACGCAGCATTGACCAGGCCTTTGATGTAGTTCAACGCGTCCTGGCCAGAATCAAAGAACGAGAAGAAGTACTGGGGAGTGATCAGCAATGAACATTGTAACGTCTCGTCCCATGACTTACCTCGTCAATTGCATATGTTTCGCCGCTGTCGAGAACTCGAATTTTGAACGTCTCCGCAAAGTCGGCCATCGGGCTCTCCTCCAGGTCAATAACATTCGCTATTGGGAATGATATTTTCACACTGTCACCTTCGTTATGTGTCCGAAAGATGACTTTCTGGAGAGCTTTCACCCATTCCTTTGCACTGGTAGCACTGTCTGCTCTGAAAAAATACGTCCGCTGGTCAGTGGTAACCTGGAAGTCTTTCGCATCGCCGTCTTTACGTTCTGCGAGAGACGCAGAGATCCCATATCGAAGATCGACATGTCCGCTAGGAAAATAGAGATTGGAGGGATCTGCGTAGTATGAGAGGACATCACCCTTCAGAGCAAACCAGTAGCGGTGATACGTAGGATTCTTGCGGCCGCGTTTGGATAGGTACCCCGACTTTATCGCCACGTTGGACTTCTTTGGAAGGTAGGCGTAAAAGCAGATGTGACCTTCCGTCACATACATGTAGCCTTGAAGAAGCATGCTCTGGAGCAACGAGCAGGCATACTCCACCAGAACCTTTTCAGGCTTCGCAAACCCAAACATCTTCATCAATCGTGTAGAAAGAGCGGACGCAGATGATTGCGGCTGGTCTTCCATGGCTTTGTTTGGATTAGGTGGCAAGTATGGTGTTGCCGATGTCAAGTCGAAGTGAGATTGCGCTTCAACCATGCGACTTAGAACTGGGGCTGCTAGCGGTGTCGCGCTGCGAGTTCGCCTTAGAGGAGGCGCCTTAAGCATCGAGTCCGGTTGGTTTGATGACTCGTTTGCCCCGCCTTCTGAATCTAACCTGGGTAATCTCTGCAAAAGCTTATTGTCAGATTTTGTTCTTTGATGGCGACGTCCTCTTTCTTCCAGAACGAGTGTGTTTGATTCCGATCTCTTGCTTGGCTGGCGGGAGTCCAAGGATGGCACAGGCGTCCGGGATGCTAATTTCCCACTAGTTTGTTCAACCCGCGGGTGTTCTTCCATCTCTCCGTCACTATCACTTGATTCATCAAACCGGGCATGGAAGTCCGACTTGGATCCGACGGCAGCAATCATGGAGAAGAGGGATTGTTGCATATAATGCACGTTGCCGTCCCGTGGACCCATACCTCGCGGCGGAGCTGTGAAATCAAACTGGGCATCATCCCCATCCTTAAATCTGTCTGGTAATCGATCTGAAAATGGACGGTTGGACGAAGTAGGTTTCATACTTGCGCTCAACTGCCGGTCTGCCCGGCGTTTGGCATCATCCCTTAATGGTCTCATCCTTATCTCTAGTATACCGATACTATATGATCGATGCAAAATGTAGGTCAAGGACGGGAGTAAACGATGCTAGGGCGTGGTGAATCACTAAAACCGGTCGGGCAGTCAGAAGCTCGAGCCAGGTGACAGCTCGGCACTGATAGGTCTATGACGATCGGGTATGCACCAGTTAAATGGGAAGACACATCAACCTGAACGCCAAGTGACTTTTGTCACGTCCAAACTTTGGTCAGGCGCTAGATCGTGATAAGGAGGGTGAATGGTGAACAATGCACGGGATTCCAGGGTCTAGGCCGATAAGCACTTTGAAGCTTGGACACCGGATATGGATGAAGCTGCCAAACCACACTTCAAATCAACCAAGCGCCATGGTCTATTTGCAAAGATGATAGAAATGGCAATAATGGAAAGAAACTCTATCCAAGTGTTCATCGGAATCTTAAAATACACAAAGAGAGAAACATCACCTGGGCTCTCTCCGCATGCATGTGATCTATGACTCCATCACCCCTTATGTCAGCTTGATGCCTGAGGCAAAATATGTAGATCTTATCTATATAACTAGTATATTATGCGTTGTAGATTTGTAGATTCTATCTTCCTTTGTGTGTATATAAAGCTAGTATTTTCTGATCTTGCTTCTAACCTTAACTCAAACCTGTGATTTAGTTCCTTTTAATGAAATTACTATCTAAAAAGCAAAAAAAAAAGTTGGTCTTAGCGATGGTTAGGCTAAGCATTGGGGATTGACCAGCGATTGTTGAGCCTAGATGCCATTCATTATTGCCAAATTGAAGTTGAAGCCTGTCACTTTGCGCTGAGGGAACCCTAGATTAGAGCGGCGTCTAAGGAAGAGCCCATTGGGTTATACTAATTGCTTCTCTTATGACCTATCCAAAAAAATACTAGGCAATGGAAAAGCCAAACTCATGTAACATTGTTCAAATTGCAGCCGGTTATAAGAGCTACCAGATCCAAGGTAATAGATAAGATTGTAAGTTGTACATAGTAATGGGGACGTCGTTAAAACAAAGCTATTTTAAAAAAAAAACTAACGCCAAATCATGCTTTTTCGGACTTCTTCCGCTTCTTCTCCTCCTTGTCCTTGTGGGACTTCTTAGACTTCTTCCGGCTCAGACTATCATCCTCCTCCTTTTCTTGTGAGTGCTTCTTTGACTTCTTTCGAGGAAGCGCAGTCGCTTGGGGAGCTTCATCCTCGGCCTCATCGTGATCAAGCTTCCTCTTCCGTTCCTCTCCCTTGGGAACCTTGAACGAAGGTACCTCAGCCTCGGATTCCGAGCTAGATCCAAGAGTCTCTGGAGGTGCACTGGTTGTTCCGACAGGCCGGAACCGCATCTTCAAGTTCTTCGGCTGCGGCCGGGCTGGCTTGACATATTTGCGCATTTCTGCCACTATAGCATCGGTGTTTTTCGATGTGCTCGGGAGATCGATCATTTCTTGAACGTGGTAACTTGGGATGCTTTGGGCTGCTGTGCAATATGTTTGTGTCTTCTCGTCAAAAAGAAGTAGCGATTTAGTCGCGGGATCAGCCTCGGAAAGAGCCTCGACTGGGATACCATAGTTCACGCCATCATGAGAGATGATCGGTTCACCCTGCATGATCTTGGCCATGCACACCTCTTTGACCTGGGACAAAGGCAGAGAGGCTGGTGCTGTGAGATGGAGGACTTGTTTGCCGTTGAGGTTGGAGAGAAGGGAGGATGCTTTAGAGGATGGCGGGGCCTGCTTCTTTGCAGACTTGAAACCCGCGGGTGGTTTGTATGGTTGAGGACCGGAGATTACGACCCTATGAGTACATGGATTAGTTACCATCAAAGCTGGTAGCGCGATAATCTCTTACTTCTTGCCTGAGTTGGAGCTGGGCTTCATTTCGCTGGAATTGTCGGAGTCGCTATCCGAGTCTGAACCTGAGTCCGAGGTTTCATCTTCGCTTGATTCCTGCGCCTTCAGGTGTTGGGTCATTTTTTTCTCCTTTTCAGTCGTAAGCTCGGGCGAGGTCGATCTGCTCGAGCTGCTATCGCTGTCGGATGAGGCCATGGCGGCTGTTCAATCAAATGTGTTGGGCAAACTCGAGATCGGGACTAAAATGATTTCGCAAGGACGCGCGGCGTTTGGCACACCCGAAATCCACAAAATGAATAGAACTGGATAATGGAGTAATGCACAGGATATATATGCGAAGTTTCAGCAAAGCCGATTTCGCAAAATGAATTGGATCGACGTTGAGTGAGGATGCTCAAGTTCAACGATCTTTTTTTTCTGCTCCGCGGGAGCACGGACCACCAGCCAGCTTTTTTTGCTTATCGGCTTTGGACCGCATTATCGAGATCATTTTCCTTTCGAACACAAGCTCAAAGCTCGTGCGCTTGAATTGTATATTATCATGGTGAAGCGAAAGGCCGAAAAACAGCAATCAGCTGGTAAGCCCTCTATCTATGCTCTACGGCACCAATCTGAAGCTCACATGTCGTTTCTCTAGGCCCTGTTAGCGCTGTCGCTGCTTTGGCAGCGCGCAGAGCTCGACAACAGCAAGCACAGAGCGCGAATGTACCAAAGGATGCACCACAAGGTATTGTTGAGAGCGAGCCACCCTCAAAAAAGTCACGGCAGTCTCTCGAGGGACCTAGGGCGACTGAGACAGAGGATCATCGTGCTTCACGGACAAAGGCAGCAAAGAAACAAGATGAGCCATTGCCAGCAGAGACAACACCGGAGCGCCCATTAAGAGTTAGCCGGCCTCAAAAATCGGAAGTGAAGCCCGAGGTTGAGGATACTCTGAAGCGCCCCGAAGATAATCAGTCTGAAAAAGACCAAGTTGAGGATGCGGGAGAGATGGGTGAGGATGTTATCGCGTCTGTTGTGGGTGATGCCGATGGCTATGAATCACCCGCAGAGACACCAGCAGAGCTTCAGAACTTCCCTCTATCCAAGGCTCGGTTGAACAAAAGCAACATAGTCTACAGTGATGAAAGCACACTTTGCATTCGCATTAAGGAACGGACGGTATGGACGAACCCTTACGACCATTCGGGGTGGATACTGACCTGACTTAGAACCTGGCGTTGCTAGGCCAATATGATCTCTGGGTCAAAAGAGGTGTTGTCAGTCTGATGGGTGCGAAATTACATCCGTCCTCACAACTTCATAGGGTTTATGCTCCCTCAACCCACTCTTTACCAGTCATCAAATGTGTTGCTGGGATTGATGGCGACGCAGAAGTAGAGATCAAGTCCTGCACCAGCGGTATTTCCCGCCTCCGTGACCTCTCGCCTTTATATCAAAGGATCTGGGCTGGCGAGAACACTGCTGCAGATAAAATCACCCTGAAAGGGGCCGCAAAAGACTCGAAGCGGAGTTTTTCAGTGGTATGCTATCATAACCTATCCCGGCTCGAGATATGTTCAAAGCTAATTGACTTGATAGTTGTATACATCGGCAGATGATTCCTTAAATAGACATATCCGACCACTTCACCTTGACAGGAAATGGAGTGCATCAATGAAATCTCTCTCACAACGTGAAGGACAACTTCGGGTTCTAATCTGTGGCCCCAAGGCATCCGGAAAGTCTACCTTTAGTCGCTACTTGTTAAATCACGTTCTCAGTCCGACACCCGAGACTGAGAATGGATATACTAATACCGATGGAGTTGCTTTCCTGGATCTAGACCCAGGCCAGCCTGAGTTTGCCCCTATGGGTCAAGTTTATCTTGCACGCTTGCGCTCTCCATTCTTCGGTCCGCCTTTCACCCACCCATCATTGGACGATTCCCGTGACGGTGAAATAGTTCGGGCGCATCACATCGGCGCAGCATCTCCAAAAGAAGACCCTGATCATTATGCACTGGCGGTCATGGATCTTATGGATCAATACCGCTCGTTGCTAGAGAAACATCCCCAATGCCCTCTGATTATCAACTACCCTGGTTGGATCTTTGGACAAGGATTGGAGGTTGCAACTTGGCTGGTCAGATCTCTCGGTCTCTCTGATGTGGTATATATGAGTGAAAAAGGCCCATCAGAAGTTGTGGATCCGTTAGGTCTGGCTGCCCGCGAAGCTCGAGTCCCCTTGACAATCCTCCCCTCACAGCCCACTGATTTCGTGAGCCGATCAAGCGCTCAATTGCGAGCGATGCAAATCCAGTCATACTTCCATATGTCTCATCCGAATGATCTCAGCACTTCCCTTTGGTCGGATGTACCGCTATCTCGCACGAGGCCTATTACTGTGGACTATGCTGGCGCACGACAAGGTATTCTGGGCGTCATGGTCATGGGATCCCAGGTCAGCCCCGATTTACTGCACGAAACGCTTGAAGGCGCTATCGTAGGAGTCGTGGCAGTTGAATCGCCGAAAGCTATCATGGGTGGGATGACAACATCAGAGCCACCCAATGACCATGAAGATCTTGACATGGATTCAGCAAACCCAGGCGCGGGTAATCCAGCTTGTCTTTCCATCGCTGACAGCATTGTACGAACATCCGAAGACCTTCCTTACCTCTTTGTTGGTTCCGGCAGTTGCACCCCATTGGATCCTAAAGCGTCAAACTGTCTTGGCCTGGCTTTGGTCCGCTCAATTGATACCTCTTCGTGCAAGCTTGAGCTCTCCACTCCTATTCCCTCATCTCACCTGGAAAAGGCCATCGAGCAAGGCCATGGCATTGTACTGGTCCGCGGCCAGCTTGATAACCCGAATTGGGCTATCAGTGAAGAATACTACGCTGCTCGTGCGGCAGAGCGGCGCTACCAGCAATCAACATCTGGGCCGAGGAAAGCTGGAGACTCTGGCATTGAACAGGCACACGAACTCGATCCGGCTGAGCATAATCGAACGCTTGCATTGCTGCGAGAGAGAGTCCGCCGGGCGAGCAATGTGCCTTGGATGACTGTTGTGGAAGATAACAGTCGTCATCAGCGTGAAGCTGCTGCACGACGAGAAAAGTCACTATGGAAGCTGAGAAAGAAGGCATATCCTGGCAGCGAGAGCGAGGCGGACTACTAGCTCCCACCTTTTGAATATATACATAAAAGTCAAATGCAACAGCAGTTTGTTAATTAGTCTCTAGATCCAAGATCTAACTATCTCTAGGTCCCGGTCTCGCCATTCGTGTCTTAGGCGAGGTGACCAGTCGATATGGCCCGTAAGGCCGACCACATCTTCATCGGTATGATCCGCGAAGCCGGTCTGTACGACGACATTGACCAGGCCTACGCCGCGCTGGACCCCTCGCGCGCTGTTGGTTTCATGGCCGATAAACGTGTGTATACCAACACCATCCTCCTCGCGCCATCTCCACTGACTTCATGACCGCCACTCCCTACCCCTTCGCGTACGACTTCCTGTCCAAGTTGCTACCCGGTCAACGAGGTCGAGGATGTGTGCCGTGTTGCATATGATTTCACTGGCAAGCCCCCCGGTACTATTGAGATAGAGTAGATAGATATCTGGTATTTTCTTAGGTTGTAATAGAAAAGTTTACATTGTCAATACAGATCTAGCTAGAATAGTTGGATGCAGTTTACAAATCCATGTGCATAAAGGAACCAAGTTCATTATTTTTTTTTTAAAATATATATTGGGCGATATAAGATAGGGGTGCAATTAACAAATGCAAGGCTAAAAACAACAAAAGGACTTCCCATGCATAACTCTTGATTGGTTTGACGTTGGGAGGGAGATTTGCAAGCCTAGACAAAACATGAGCAGGCTTAGAGCTCCTTTTCCCTAAACGAGGCATCACTATCTGTCTGATCTCCTTGCTGCCACGACTTGAACATGAGAGTTGCAACGTTCCGGCCCATCAGCGCACTAGTCTCCATTGTCGAGATGAAGCTCTCGATGCCACCCGTGTACCATACGCCCGGAGCCAGAAGAGTCTCTTCAAATGTCACTCGCGGATACAAAAGGGGATATGGGTTCCATAGCTTCTCATGGAACCAGCTGATATCACCTATCAAAAGGTCTCCAATTGTTGTATTGCTCCCCACAGTCTCACTCTCCAGCCCCAGAATCTGGGCAATGAATTCACCCGTGGGTCGCTCTGGCGAAAAGATTTTGTAAACGTAATTTTGCTGTGTGTCTTCGGATCCCACCACAGAATGATCTACTGTTCGAAGCGTACTAATACTCCAGAAGCCGCTGGGCCCAACACCATCTGGGTTTGAACCCATATCAAGGCCCTCGGGTAGAGTGGTCAGAATAGTCTCAGGCGCTCGAGCATTTGGATCCTTCAGGCCAAAATACTTTGGGGAGATGCGGTGGGGGGATGCAAATAGTGTAACGTGCAGATTCACATATGGAATCTCATCTGGGGTGTACTCCAAGGGAGGGGAGACGGAAATACCCGAGTACTGCAAAGGACCGGCAATGATAACTTCATCAAATACTTCATGCTCTGAGTCGGTGGCGGTGTTTAGCTTTGAAGAGACCCGCACAGTCCCATCGTCATTGCGCGAAATCTCAGTGGCAGTGGTATTCACTTTGATGTTCGCTCCTGAAGCTCTCAGCGCACCGTCGAAAATGCGCCAATTTCCGCCCTCGATAGAAACCGCTCCATCTGTAGCCATACAGACGATAGATTCCAAGCCATGAATCAGCTGTATATTCTGCCCATAATTCACTCGAGTACTTGCTTGAATAATCTCCCTCGCAAACAGCGAGCCGATGCTATTTGTCTGGAGAAACACATCGCCAGAAGACACAGTAGCATTGATCAAGTCAGCCGCAACAGCTGCCTCAGTAAGAGAGCTGAAAGGGAATAAGGGTTCTTCATAAAGGCGGAGAAACCTGCCAACGACAGTATTCACCAGATTTTGGGTACGCAGTGGCGCCAGTCCATACCGCCAGAAGAGCCGGCCGATATTCCACCAGCTATACGAATTCTTCAACGTGAAAACAAACTGACTCCCATCCCAGATTCCGATGCTCTCCTCGGTCTCCCTGGGCCGTGCATGGTCAGCACTACTGACCATCAGACCAAGGTCACGGGAAGCATTGACCAGGTTGTAATTGACCTGGACAAAGATGGAAGCGCCCAGTTCAATGGGGTACGCTGGGTTGTCGAATACATTGACTGTTGTTGAGCGGCCGCCTATATACGATTCACGTTCATAGACTGTGATATTGACAGGGATGTCGGCTTCATCTGCGAGCTTGCGCAGTTGATACGCAGCAAACGAGCCTCCGGCTCCGGCGCCTATCAGGAATATCAGCCCCGTATGAAACTGTGTTCTTTAGAGAGAGGCATACCGATTATTGCCACCCGCTTTGGGGCAGTACTAGCAGCTCCTCGCAGTTGCTCTTGTTCTGCTGCATTGCCAAGCGAGGCGAGTAAGATGGCTAGGATGGAGTATAGGAAGAAAGGGACATGCTGTGGCATAAACGCCTGCATGATTATGGTAGTACTAGAAGATGACAGAGCTAATTGGTAGTTTAATAGCAAATCCTGATTAACCAGAGTTTAAATGTAGATTAAATCGACTCCCATGGATGGAGTTCGAGTGTCAAAGGGGGAAGTGATGCGATGAGTGTAACTTGGACTTAGTATCGATACCACGCTAGTCTTGTTTAGGACTGGCGCATTTCCATATCGCTTATCTTTTTTGAGGGGCATCACAGATTTGATTTCACTTAACTCCGAACCAATTCAAAATGGATCCATATGACAGTGACTCCAGTGTCGATGAAGATTTCACCGATACCGGTGTGCTTCTAGGCTATGCTGCTGAGGATGTCATCGAGGATGTAATCAGCCATCTTGGAGGCTGGCCGGTATGTTCTATTCCTGCGAAGAATCACTCTATAATCAACTCCAATTAACAACTTTTTTATTCAGAAATGGCTCGACGAAGCCTCCCCAGCACCTGGCGATTTCGCCAATTGCAAAGTTTGCAACAGTCCCATGCTCCTCCTCCTCGAATTGCACGGCGACCTGCCCGATCACTTCCCGACGGACGAACGACGCCTATACCTATTTGGCTGCCCCAGAAAACCCTGCAACCGCAAGCCAGGCAGTATCAGAGCATTCCGCGCAGCGCGCAAGGTCACCGTCGGCGGACAAAACAAACATGTTGAAGCGAAAACAGAGGACACCCAGCCCGCCGCACCAGAAAAACCCAAGCAGGACCTAGGAGCGAGCCTGTTCGGCGCAACAAACCTGACAAGCAACATCTCCTCGAACCAGAACCCCTTCTCATCCTCTTCTGGCCCAACACCCGCAGGAAGCAACCCCTTCGCAACACCGGTCCAGGCAACAGCACCTACAGCTGAGAAGCCCGCCGTGTCTGCAAGCACCCTAGCCTCATCTTTCGCCGACAAAGTGCGCATCTCCTCGCCACCTCCTTCAGCCGCGACAAAGAAAACGCCGGAATCAAGCACGCCAGTTCCGTGGCCCGCGCAGTCCGCATTCCCTGCGCCATACAAGAATTTCTACCTAGACGCTGAATACGAGACTCTCTCGCGGCCGTCTTCACCCGAAGTGCCAGATAATGTGCAGATCGAGCCAATGGAGGAAGAAGGCGCTGGTGGCGCCGAGCTCAAGGACACTTTCGAGTCCGAGCTCGACAAGGACTTTATGAAGTTCTCGATGCGTCTCGAGCACAACCCGGAGCAGGTGCTGCGGTATGAGTTCCGCGGTACGCCGCTTCTGTACTCGACTAGCGATGAAGTCGGTGCTCGGCTGCATTCTCACAATGCCCCTAACGCCAAGATCACCACACTCGGTGCGGGAAGTATCCCGGCCTGTGAGTACTGTGGAAGTCAGCGTGTGTTTGAGTTCCAGATTGTGCCGCATGCTATTACTATGCTTGAGGAAGGACGTCCTGGTGTTGGGCTTGGAAAGGATGATGCGGGCATGGAGTGGGGCACTATCATCATGGGGGTTTGTGGTAATAACTGTACGCCGCAGGAGTTGGGCGTTACTGGATGGCGGGAGGAATGGGCTGGTGTGCAGTGGGAGGAGTTGAGATAGGTATAGACATTTTACATTAGATGTGAGTATTTTGCCTACTCTAGGTTGTACATAGCAATGTTACTAGGAAAATCAAGCATTTTCTAGCTCTTTACACATTTTTGTCTACATTAGCATTTTGGATATATTGCCGAGAGATCACCTTGTAACTTTTATTATCAGATTTAATGCAGCGAATGGCTTCACAAGTGAGTCAATCTACCCCAAGTCAGTTGAAACCAGATTTGCATCATGACAACTGAAATCCAGTATCTATCCCAGCTAGCTAGGTAGGTACTTTCTGGAAAATATTGACCTCTATTGCTCTCAAATGCGCACTTCATCTTGTCTTACCTTGAGATGTCCTAGACTGATATAGCTTGGTTTCACCCTACAACCTTGGACATACTCCAGCTGGTTTATGTTATGGACACCTGTTACACGGAACTTCTTTGGTATATAATTGTATATCGTGTTCACCTAAAACTATAAACTAATATCTATACAACTTGGTACAGCTGTGTATGTGGGCAACAATAATAATGGACAAGATCATGTAATTTGACTTTATATACCTAAGGCCCACGGGTAGAAGACCGCTGTATACATAACCACAGTATCGTCCTTTTTCTTGAAGCCCATAAACATTTGTCTACGTGCTCTGCACTTCATTCACAGCAACATCAAGATGTTTACTATCGACGAACTCTTACAGAAGTTCAAGGACATAGTGATCCAAGTCCCATGCCTGAATTCATTGTCCTCTTCCTGACGTTCGATGGCAGTTCCAGACTTGAATGGAAAAGTAAAGGAGCATGTAGAATCACGGCGTCAACGGCATGTAGTTTAAGTCAAATGATCTGTTTCAGCAATGCTGAAAACATATTTCGTATGTTGTGCCACAAGGGCAAGACCCCAGAGTGCTCAGGTCCTGCCATGTCAGTTCCAAGATATGATAGGCTATAGTTGAAGCAAACAAATACAATGTGGACTACATCCAGTCTCACCTTTGTCCAATACGGCCAACCTCATTCCAACATGTAATACGAGCTCAGATAGGGTCACCACTGCATGTCTAGTGCTTGTGCTACAGCATGGGCCAATCTTCCAATTATATATTTGACCTGACTGGATGGATTTTAGATTTATAAAAAAGCCTCGAGAGCAATGTACCAACACAAAAAGGTCCAAGCAACTCTAAAGGGCCAAGTGGATATTGTCATCGGCGCAGGCTCAGCCTATGGCATTGCCCATTCTATGGTGATTACAGCAGCGAAATCTGGTGCAAAAGCCATCTACGCCTGCGATATCAACACAAGCTATTTTGCAGGCCTCCAAAACACCATGAAAGCCACCGGGAAGTGACACTACAGTGGAATGTCGTATACTAGACGTTTCATCCGAGGACCAAACCCCAACCTAATACAACAGATATTGAAGTCTTATGGTCGATTGGACTTCTACTTCGCCAATGCGGATATTGTAGTATATCGGTCCGTCATCTTCCAGTTTCCCGTTTCCCTTATATATTTCTCGATAGCAGTTAATTGACTAGTATCCAAGCGGTCTAGACGACCTCTCGGTATCTCATTTCCAACGCGCAATGTCAGTCATGCAAACGGGCACATTCCTAGCCCTGAAATATGGCACCCAAGCCATGAGCACGACATCCTCCAACAAACCAAAATCAAAGGGAAACATAGAAGTTACTTCAAAGTGCTCGACACTAGGCGGGGCATTTGCAGATATGGCATACATAGCAGCGAACGGCTGCAATGATCTCGTGCGAAGCGACGCTGTCCAACTATCCTCTAGCAACATCCGCGTGGATGCTGTTGCGCCTAGTCCTGCCACTATAAGCATCTTTACTACTTCCAAACTTGCTGAAGTAGGCGTGGAATATCAGCTCAAAAAGACCGCTGAGGAAATTCGGAATGAGTCTGCTGGGATCTATCAGGGCTTTGGACTAGGTGAAGATGAGACATACTATTATAACCGCAGTGCTGCGCCGGGGGAAATTGCTAATGTTGCTGTTTTCTTGGCTTCGGATCTGCCAATGGCGATTAATGGTCAGGCTATTGTTGCTGATAGTGGGAAGTCGGTTGCGGCATCTGGGGATACTTCCACTGGGCCGGTTCTTCCTATGAGTCCTTTTATATTGTGATTCAGTTGGGGATACTTTGTGGAAGCTTGAATGTTGGTGTCGTTTGAGCTTGCATCCTCGGCAATGATACTGTTTCGTGCTCTATCCCCATTGCGTCTACATCTGGAACTGGCTCTGTATGATTTTTTATATTGGCAGCAAAGTCGGCCCTACATGGAGGCACGACTGAAGTTATGTTATGGTATTGACATGACATCTCTCTCTCTCTTCCTCATATTATCCAATGCAGATATTTGCATGGATAAGTAAAAAAAAAGAATCCAATACAGACAAGAGAAATGGAAAAAAAAAGTTAAAAAACGCCAGATGCGCCAGGTCCCGACTCATCTCCGAGCCCCTCCTCCATGCGAAATCTATCGTCTGTTCGTCACTTGATCGGGGGTGGGATTCATGAACTCATGTCATGGATGGAAATCAAATTTTCCCTCGCACAGCTTTCTGAAGATTTTTAAAAAAAAGGTGATACGAAAAAGAGGAAAGAAGTGAAACATTTCGAATCGACGCGGGAAAAAAAAATCAAGAATAAAGAGAGAGCTTCCGCAGTAAGCGCTTATGCGGGCAACTCAAAGCCACGACGGATGACACGACCGAACTGCTCGATGCCGACGTGCTCGCTCTTGACCTCGGAGCGGGCCTCGTTCTCCTTGTTGGTAGGGACGCGGATAACTGCGCCATCGACCTTCCAGCCACAGACATCGACGACGAACTTGTCGAGCGCGTCACGGCTGCGAACGTCGAGCCAGGACTCGAGGTTCTCGGCGGTGATGGAGCGGAAGGTGTTGCCGACCTCGACGGCGATGCGGATGCGGACAAGCTCCTCGAAGCCGGCCACGTCGGCGGTCAGGTCTGCGTACAGATCGTCCGAGTTCAGGGTGGACCAGAACTGGGCGTACTGGGCAGATTCGAGGAGAGTGGACAGGCGGGTGAGCTTCTGCACGGACTCGACGAAGTCGGAGGTCTGCGAGGCGGTTTGGGCTTCGGTGGTGGTGGGGAAGGGCTGGGTGCTTGTTGGGAGCAGGGCGAGGCAGAGCGAGAAGGCGGGCGAAGGGAACACAGTCAGGGCCTTGGCCAGGATGTTGGTCACGGTATCGGGTTGGATAAGGTGGGGGTTGAACTGGAAGCTGGATTTTTTTGAAGGGGGTTGTTGTCAGCTTGGATTCGAGGATGCCACGATGATTTGAAGTGTTTGTGAGAAGCATGCCATGCTGTTGATTTCAACCAATGCATGGGTCATTCCTGTTCAGTATCTTCACAGAATTTCTCAACATGCCCAAGTATATTATGGGGATGTCAGGTAATAGGAAACGCTTAAAAAGATACTCATCATAGTAGAGCCTCTCAAATATGATTTTCGCAATGGGATTCATGAAAAAAAAGGGTCTAACTCACAGCTTCAGCAGGGCCAAGTTGGCGTAGCAGTCGAATGACCGGTCCTCGCACTGCTGGGAGACATAGTCCTGGAAGATGGTAGTGGTCTCGGGGTTGTACCGGTCGAGGCCATTGAGGATAGCCTCAATATGGGCCGGCCGGGTCTCACACTTGTCGAAGGCGACCATTTTGATATTGCTGGAGGAAGGTGGGAGGTGATGCGGGTCTTTTGTCTCTGCTGTTCTTTTCGGTGGGATTTTCCAAGGTTTGATTGTGGCCGTGGCCGGATTAACCTAAAAAGGCATAATTACCCGGAATTCTTCCGGGCTATAATATACATGTGCATATAGTAACACTCGAGTATCCGAAAAGGTGGCCAACGGCCGTGGATTCATTCATGTTCAAATAATACATAGAATACATATCTCTTGAATGCCTCGTGTGATCGTGACATCTTCATCATAACCTAGCACCAGTTCCAATAATGGAAACCCGCTAAACAGACGTGCTTGGATCGTTGAACTCCGTGAAGATCGAACGAGATGCCCAAGAGAAGAAGCATATCACTTCAAGAAAAAAAAAAAAAACTGAAACCAAGGCGCGTAAAACAAGAAACTCCGTTCCGTGTTTATCAGACGCCATTGTCTATGCCCATGCCCATATCGCAAAAAAAAAAAAGGCCGAATCTGTATGCAAAATGAGCAATGCAGAAATCGGTCGAAACACCTTACCAAACCTAATAAAAACGCAAAAAAAGAGCAAAAAGAAAGAATAAAAAAAGAGAATAAAACAAGGTCAAAGTTGAAGGTGCCTGAAAAACAAAAAGAACAAAGCAGGCGGGTATCTCAATAAGAGGTTCATGCAAATGATGAAAAAAAATATTTCAAGCCATAACGGGCCGGCGAGGCGCAATGGGAATCGCCTTTGGTCCCGCGGAAATTTCAAGGTTCGACATGTCGATGTCATTGCCATCATACTTCTGGTCATCCTTTGGCTGTCTTGCCTTGGAGACTAGGACTGGCTGAGAAGGACTGGCGCTTTCTTCGTCGCCTACAGTGCTGCAGACAAAGCGTTCCTCGTTGAGAGGGATTCCGCCAAACATTGAGCCCAGCTGTTGCAGAAGTGCGACGAAATGAGCATGTAATTCGGTAAAGATGTATTCATTGCCGACGATTTCGGCCAAATTGCGGGCACGAATCTGGCCGGCTGCACGGCGGCCTGCCGGGTCCATACCCCGGCCGGTGAGGAAGGATGAAACGGGAGGGTATTGGCGGCCGGGCTGTCTTCCCAGGTTGTTCTGCTCGTCGCGAGTCTTCTCGTCTTCCTGGAAGCGTTCAGCAGCCTGGACAATGCTGGTTGCGATGCGACCGAATGCGCGCCAGATGATGGGACATGCGCGGAATGCTCTTCCGGCATCACGCCCCGCCAATGCGACAAGTGCATAACTGCGTCGCTTGCCGCGGGCCATAGGGTCTGGAAGGCGGAAAATGTAGGCGATTGTGTAACCAGCAACTCCGTCACCGAAGCAGATGGGGCCGGAGGAAAGTCCCCGGGGCAAGAGCTCACAGCTTAGGGTGCGAATAGAGGAGCGTCGGAGGAGTGCATAGTCAGCGGGATTAGGTGGGCCACGCTGAGAGAGGTAGGTGTGAATGTGTGTGTGACATGAAGCATCGGAGGCAACTGAGGCAGAATGAAGTGATTCGGGAGGAGAAGCATGGGTGTGATAGTCGGTCTCATCATCCAACTCTGAATGGTTGTTGCCACATGAGTAGACTAGCTCGCGCGAGCGTAGTACCGGGCTAGTGGAATTGCCTTTGGCGTCGCGACTTCCAGGCGCACCAGGAGGTAGCTGTTTGCTGACATTTTCTGGCAGAGACAAACTGCAACTGGCGCAAGTGTCGCCATTTGCACCACCTCGGTTGGATTTGTCTTCGGGTGAGGTCGGATGCCCTTTGAGGAAGTACGGGTGATCTTCAATTCTGGGCGACTTAGGCTCGGCAGATTTCTGAGATCGAGACTCGTGATCGAAGCGAGACTCATTTGAAGCCGGGGTACCCTGGGGAGATTCGGATTCGGGGTGACATTGCGGGCATGAAAAAGGTAGAACCTGCGAGCAAATGATCGAGGTGGGACCATGCACCTCGCAGAAGTGCGTCAGAGAGAGCTGAGTAAGTCAGTTCAAGCTCATCATAGTATATTGTATACCTCATTTACTCACAATGAAATCCATGGTGGACCTGATCAAGCAATAACCAGCATCTTCAGTCCATTGTCCCAAGGCATGCTGTGACTGGATAATGACGAAAGGCTGGTATGCGGGTCCACACAGTGACCAGGTTCCAGGGAAAAGAAGGTTAAAAACACAAAAAAAAGAGTAAAAGGAAGTGAAGGGTATGAAGAGTTGAGAGATATTAAAAGGAAGAGAAAAAGCAGAGTGGAGTTTGTAATGTGATAAATAAGAAGACAAGCAATAATAATCGAAGGGGCTAAGGCCTGGGGCTCTCTGGGGGGGGGGGTTTTCGGTGGAAGACCGGGAGTTGCACTCTCTTCCCAAATGGAAGGTTGATGGAAGAATAGAACTACTCCACTGGGGGAATCCACTCTTAACTTCTTTTTAATTTTCTTTTATTCTTTTACAGAGTATTTCTTACCTTTTTTCTAACTCTTTTAACACCTTTGTTTCTTTACTTTTATAACAAAATCTAATCTATCGTACTTTCTATCCTTTACTTATAGTTACACCACCCTTCCGGATGCCTTCCGATCACATTCTTTTATGCTCTTCTCCTGGATTGCTGCATGTGAAAATCATTCTAAAATCGGGCCGACCATTAATATTCATGGGTTTCCGTGCTTTGCCTAGCGTCTTGACCCGAGGGGCCGTTCTCGTCTGCCCTTGGACCGTTGCGTACAAGTGGATAAGGTGGCTGCAAACAAGGGCTCCATTGTGGGAATATTTGTGGTACCAATGATCGTGCAGATAATTCAATATTATTTCCATCTATGATCTATGATCTTGATACGTAGGTATCCATATGGATTCAATTTGAAGGTATTGTGATCTATCAAATATTATACAAATCGTCATGGATTCACTGCTCCCACTTTAGGTATGTCCCTTTTTTTTTTTTTTTTTTTTGCTTTTTATGTTACTCAAAAGTCAGCATGTGTCAGATCAGTCGACAGCCGTCTCTATTCCAGCCATCAGCCCGGTGGATTTCCTCGGGGAGTAATCTGGAGATAACTCCGTGTTAGGGGGGCACCGGTAAGGAGGCGAAGGGAAGAATTCCCTGTCCTCCCATTTGCTGAACCTCATCATATATTAGATATATATATATAAATTACTTGGGATTTCGGGTATACTCCCTCACTTCTGGACGATCTTGGGTCCCAAAGATGTTCATCTTTCCCCAAGTGGGACACAAACAGTTCCGTGGGAAAAATGGGCATCGGTGGAAATATTCCAAGGCTAGCGTGTTCAGCAGGGATCTAAACTTTATGGGATTTCCCGACAAGCCTCCGGCGGGAGTCGAAGGATCATACAGAGTACTTGATGTTCCTTTTTACTTTTCGCCGGTACATTCTCGTTTTAGCTTTAAATCATGATATAACTATATACTCCGTTTGAACTGGAAACTCATACGTCAGATCCAGGGATCTCCAATATATGTTGTATCCCCCCTTCACCCGGATGAGGATCGTCTTCGGAGTTAATTTCCAGAGTTAACTTCCATCGAATCAGCCTTTCATCCGTCCCGTCCAGATGACAAACGGATGCGGCTGATGTACATCTCCGATGCTACTCCGAGGATATACAGGCTATATTTCCAAAAAGATGAAACAGCCCTGAACACTCCGAAGTGGTAGTTGCCCCGGCATTGAGCTAGGATTCCCAAATCCTAGATCCTTGCCAGTATAGCCAGGTGACCTTCGTACGGAGGTATACGAAGTATTTTACAATCAGGCAGCCTTCTACCACTAGTCGCACACTAAGTACACTAGTGTACCCTGTGTAGTAGCCTTGAAGTCCTGTCATCTACTTTTATAATATATATCCCGTCTCATTATTCCTTTTGTGTATTCTCGCCCTATCACGCCGAGGATATAATTGATTTTCGATCCAATTTAAAATTTATGGTGAGGGATTTTAACATAATATTTATAAAAGAAAGAAAAGAAAAAAAAAAGAGCGGCAAACCCACTAAACAACTTGAACCCACTGGACACCAGCGGATCCCCGATCATTTTCGCCAAATAGACACACGACACTTTAACGGTTCCCGAGGTCGGCCTTTTAATGGATTGGCGGTTTCTCCATACGGAGTGTTGAATTCCGTTTTACCTAATAAAGTTACACACGAATTTACTAGACTCTCGTTAAAACACTGTTCCACAATGTTCTACACGTGAGACATTGTAGATTATATGGGGGTACCCGGGGCTTTAAACGGAGTATACGGAGTATGCGGAGTCCTATATGAGGTGCAATGGAATTTATTAGCCGATTATTTTGGGAAGGTGGTTTATGTACGTAAACGCCAGTGTGGTTCTCGTGCAGAAAGTGGATCGGTTATGAGACATACTATTGTCCCCGAGGTCAGGAACAATCGGTAAGCTAAACCTGGAACACTTCGGCCGATCCAAGACATGGACGATCTAGCCAATCTCGCCACGTGGAATTCCCAAAGTACTAGATTGCTGATCAGCGGTCTTTTATGCAACCTTACTATGTACCTATAACCTACAACCTACAACATTACTATGTACCTATGACCTACAACATTATACAACATCACTTATCAATGGAGTCTATGGCTGCACAGCCTTAATAGAGACGAACCACAAGATCCGACTAGTCGGGCACTCGCTTCGACAGCTCGTTGCTCCATCGGGTAATTAACCGCTAATATATATGGGTACTCGCCTCTTGCTGTCACCACCCTGCGGGTATGCTAGTTAGTCTACGTGGCGTATCGGGTTGATTATGTATCATATATGCGTGTTGTGCAGCTGTATGCCTTGATGGATTACCCCTACTAGCTAGCCCCACTAGCACTAGCAAGTTATTCAAGCAACTAGTACTCCGTAGGGACCGTCCCGTTGAACCATATATCCTAGGAGAGTGGAACATGTTTAGTGAAACAAGTTTTATGACTAGTATTACACTTGCTGGTGTTTAGTGTAAGCTTAAACTGTCTCATGGCATTTGGCTGGAAGATGTGAGGGATCCAGCAGATATTTGATTTATTTCCACAAGCTACATCTTTAAACGGGTATATAATTACTTGACTTAGAGAAGACATATCAAGATTGTGAGACAGTAAAGCCTCATCATTTAGCCGCACTGGGCGGAATTGTTAAGTTTGACGTTTGATCACCCGATAACTGCCCAAGGGACGTCGGGCATGTCCCTGAAATATGGAATCAGAAGTGATTTTTTTTCTTGTTTTCCATTAATAGCCATCATGGCACTTGCAAGATGTTGGCTCGTCCACGTTATCAGCCCCATTACCCAACCCCCTGGGCGGGTGTGGAAGGCGATATGACAGAACCATATTGATCAGCAACCACAATAGGAATAACCCTTTATCCTTGGTCGAGTGATCGTCTTGTCTAGCGAAACAAGACATTTATTCAGATAATCGCATGGGGCTGGCATTGAATCTATTGCTGATTCAGGGTCTGTTCTTGCCTTCTCAGACATGTCGAATGATTACGCACACACATAGTTCGAGCATGTACTGTCCTCTTCAAGGACGATCATACTTGGGCATGCGCATGTTCATCATTGACAACATATTGCCTGCCGGACCAGAGGTTCCAGCTTGGCCCTGAAGACTCTCCAACAAATTCTTGGCGAGGTTGATGTTGATGTTCTCATCCTCGTCCTCTTCACTGGAGATCTTGGCAGCCTTTCCTTTGGATGCACTTGCTTCGTCAGTGGACAATTCTTGCGGGCGCCGGTTGAGATCGAGTATACCCGTCCCTTGCAATTCCGCCTCCATTCGCCGGGAAAGCTCCTTGATCTGCTCTGTGTCGTCTTCCCCGTCCGAGTCGAGGTCTTCCACTCGTTTGCGGATGGAATCGGACCCAGAGGGCATGCCCATCATCTCTTTCATCATTCTGGAGAATTCCTCTTCGTTGAATGATGCGTCCTTATCCTCGCCTTCACTGTCGACTTCTTCGTCATCATCATCTTCATCGACATCAGAATCCGACTCAAAGTCATCAATGAAATCGGCACCATCGAAGCCCGCTGAGTTGTCATTCAGGAACTCTTCAAAGCGAGCCACAATACGTTGAAGGTTCTCCTGGGCACCAGAGTCACCAAATTTGCCAGCATCTTCTCCTTTTCCTTCACCTCTTCCTTTGAGCTCTGTCTCCAGATCTTCATAGTTGATATCGAGCCATTTTTCATCGTCCTCTCGCTTGTCCCAGGTTTCTTGAATTTCTTCATCTGTGGGAAGGGGTTCATCCCCCGTCTCCACATCCTCGAGCAAGAACTTCATTTCCCTGACCGCAGGCTTATCTTGATTTTGGGGATCGTACAGCAGCATCTCGAATCCACATGCGAGTTTCATTCCCGCTTCCGCCCGTTCATATGCTTTGCGATCCTCAGTTGAGGGCAGCTTGCCCGCCCAGGTACTTGGCACAGGAAATTCCTGGCTCTTGAGTTGCGCATAGCCGACACGGGTAAACCGAACACTAACGTCGACCAAGTCGTCCGGCTTGAAAACAAGGTCGGACGCATCCTTAGCTCGGAGGGGTCGCAGGGCGATCGGATCACGAACATAGAACGCCTCCACAGCAGGTGAGATATAGGCTGGCTTTTGGTGTAGGAGGAATGCAGCCTTGCGGGGAATTGTGATGATGGCGGAGTGAAGGTTTTCGGTGATTTGCTGAGGGTACTTGCGTAGACGGTAAAAGGCCTCTTCTTGAATTATTGTCGAGCGAAGAAGGCGACCGGGTTCGTCCTGGATAGTCTTTCGTGCCTCTGAAAGTGAGACTTTCTCGGTGACCTGTCTCTTCGTCTCTTGCTTGGGCTTGATGATTCGGAGCTCTCCTTGGTTGATCCACACCTATTCCATGGATTGGCTGGTTAGCATGATGTCTCTAACAAGCCGGCGTGAATTAACTCGCCATAACTCACCCTATTGTCTGCGACATCTGGCTCTACCCATGCTGGGAGTGTTCCCGCAGCTTCAATGAGAAGAAACTCGCCATCGCCAT